CCGCCGGCCTCACGAGACATCGAATGGAGCTGCTTCACGAAGACTTCGCGCGCGGTTCCCGATCGTCGAAAAGAGAAGGGGGAAGGGGGGGGGGGGGCGCCCACACGGACTGTCCGGCCAGTTGGTGCGAGCGGCGGCGTGCCGCGACGTAGTGTGCCGTGGCATGCACTTGTCCAGTGGCATAAATTTCACCCCAGTTGTTGTTTTTTTCACTCTGCCCTAATTCCGCCCTCTTATGATTCCTAGACAAAACAATAGTTTCCATTTCCACCTCTAAGAAAACACATCAGGCTGCCTACCTCAATGACAGAACTTCCACATTCTGCATTCTTCTCAGGAGGCGGACATCCGATAATTCACTTCCCCTGTGGGAAAAAAGACACAAGATAATTTTTTAAAACTTCATGGTATTGTGATTAAAAAGGTGAGAGGAACTTTGCAAATATTTCTCTATCTGATTGGAATAAAACAGAAGGTTCAGAATGATATTATATATAGAAATATCTTTTCTTTAACCAACTGATGGACACACAGTGTCGACACAAACTATTTTGAAGGCACAATAACTCATAACAAAAACAGATAAGTACGTCAAAATGTATTTCACAGGTACTTACCAGCAATTCAATTTGGTGACCTGTCCAATGTCTGATTGTTTAGTTCTTGCAACTACCATTTCCTCCGTGAGTCGTGCCATTATGAGATTAATCTACTAATAGTTACTGACAGGCAAACAGCATAGATACCCACATAAGTAGAACAGTTAATGTGAAACTTCCAACATTTTAATGAATTAAAGACATCTACATTTTTATTATCAAATAATTAAACAAACAGGTTGATCAGATCCAAACCCAAGGATCGTACAACATAAACGAATGCTTGACATTCCCCCGCGACACGCGCTCGATTGAGTTACTCGTTTGGTAAACAAATAAACGGCGAGACACGCGGCCGGCGGCCGGCGATGTTCCTCGGTGAACAAACCTAGCGCGACTGACGAGTATCGGAATCGGACGGGACGGAGAGAAACTGAAGGCAAGCGAAAGAGATTGGGCGCTTCAGCGGCAAGGTGGGGGGGAAGGACTACCCGGGTAGGTAACGCACGGTGGTAAAAGCACGACATTCGGAAATATCAACTTTCAAACCGAGGCTTAACTCTTTTCAAAAGTCCAAGGGAACATTGAGATTTGTTCAAAAACAGGCAGCTTTCGACAAACCAACAACAATTAATTGAAGGCTTAGTTGAAATTTTATCGATACAAATATGGTATGAGCCAAGTCCTGCATATAATCACCGCTTCACTATTCGCACTCAGCAGCAGACAGACACCAACAGACACTGCCAAGCCAAATGCTCACAAGAATATTGTCGTGGTTGGTTTCAGTTTCCTTATAATCAAACAAAGAAGCTGCACCATCATGTCAACGCGGTGGTAAGGCATTAATATTGCAGTTTGATTGATTGTTTACGAAGTTCTATGGACTTCTGTGTCACATGCAAGAGTTGAGCGAACACTTAACCTATCAATTCATTAACGCTTTGATGTTTTGAATTATTGTATCCTTAGCGTCCGGATTTTTCGAAATGTCTTAGTTAACATTTCGTTGCTTAATTCTTACATCCAAATCGTAATTCACAACCTTGTTGATGTTACAAAACTATACTTGTAACTTTTTAAATTTCTTATTATTCTATTCCAGGTATCCGCTGTATCAACGAGGGAACCCCCAATTAAGAGTTTTCCTACCTAACTTTTGGATGAAAGTTGTCAAGCCGAAAGAAGAAATACCACCAAACATGGTTCACTTCCATGTTTCTCCTGAAATGACAGAATATGATGTTCGCAACTATCTGACTAAAATTTATAAGCTGCCAGTCGTAGCAGTTAGAGTAGAGATGAAAAACGGTACATGTTTCTCTGATTTTACCTTTCCACCTTCAATTTTCTTGAACATTTTTTATACTAATGGTTTCTTTCTTTTCCTACAGGAAATGTGGTTAAGACAATCAAAGGCAATTTGATAAAAGAGGATGACTTTAAAGAGGCACATGTAACAATGGTAAGTCAACTTCAACATAAAAAATATTGGTATGAAATTATTGCGTAGCTCATGTTGCTTCCGTAATATTCTTTCATAGGAAAAGAGCTTCAAATTTACCTTTCCTGATATTGACCCAAGGCCTGGATACGAAGTTTATACGAAAAGTGCAGAGGATACCAAGAAAGCTCAAGAAGCATTACAAAAGAAGTTTAGATATCGTCCTGGGCTGCCAACATGGTTTACTCAATGATACAGTTCAAATAGTTTTTAATACTTGTTTTGTAAATAATAAACATACAGTTAGCTCAGTAACTTGACAATGCTTATTAATTGAAGCCAATTACTTTAGAACATAAATTTCATTTGAATAACACCTTTTTTTCATATTTTCACAATTTCAACAAACACACAATCACTTAGTCAAAACCTTAAAAATCACCAACTTACGATCAGAACCTGCACAGAGAAGTGGCAACCGATAGTGCCATGAAAGACCACCAAAGACCTATTCCAAGGGGAGATAAATTATTAGGGAAAGGGCATTCAAGTTCATCCACAAATATATGTAAACAAATAATAACTTAGATTACAAAAAGTCTTTGATAAAATTACCTGAAGCATTGCAGTCAAAATTGGCTGGCTGGAACCCACATGAGAAACCTTAAGTTGATGATCGCTTCGTCCAATAGTTGCAACATGATTTTCACTTGTAGGGGAGAATCTAATAAGCTGACCTCCCTCCATATGAATTGGCCTTGTTTCCACAGGCGAACTGTAGAGATCAGTTTTAAAAGTATTACAATTTTTACAGAATTGACATTTTAGGTTTTTTGAAAGCTAAGCTAAAATGATTTGGATAAAATAAAATAAAAAATAAGAAGATACACTGCATACCTAGGAGCAGTAACATCTCTTATGATCAGATCGCTGCCGGCAACACACCCAACTCTGCTGCAATTACTGGGTGACCAATCTGCTGACATTAGAGGAACCTGAGCAGCATCAACTGATAAAATAGCTCGTTGAGTCTCAATATTATACATGTGAATAAGACCCGCTTTCTCTGCTACAAGCAGTTTAGAGGGTTCTTGACGGTGCCAACTAACACTCATCCCTAAAAAAAAATATGACCATATAAGAAAATATAAAAAACAGTCTAGAGTATTATATTACAATTACTATCAAGGACATGACATACCTGGGGAAGAAAGGTAAAATAATATGACTTCGCCCCCTTCATCTTTAAGAGGCCACAACTGACAAGTTTGATCATCACTAACAGAAGCCAGATAGTTTCGTTCAGGGTCGCAGGCTAATGCATTGATATAATCGGTGTGGCTGCCTAAAGTCTAAGAAATGCTCATTGTTAATAAAAAATAAGCAATTAGAAGTAAATGTTCAAAAATAGGAAATACCTTGAAAAATTTGTTCCCATTTCGAGTACTATCAAAATGACAAACTTTAAAATCTGAATCTGCGGTGTAGAACGAAAGCAACTTTGGCAGTGCACTGACTGATGCGTCTGGACTCCACGCTATGGCATGTACTCTTGACACATGGTAGAATTCATGAATGATACTGAACTCTACACTCTCTTGACTGTTCTCATCTTCTTCCTAGAAAGATACCGAAAGTGTCAACGAAAATGCATGAAAAATTAGAAATTCTTACAAGCAAAACAAACAAAGCCGGTGCTCCAGAGGTTAGGCCGGCAGTTCAGTTGAGTACAGGATAATGATTTTGTTTATACCTGAACAGATAAGGTACCGACGACGACTTTGTCTTTCAATGCTATGCAAAGCAGATTCTGGGACCATTCATAGGGCGAGAATTCGGCTTGGAAGATTTGACTTGAAAACGACAAGACAAACTTTCTGCTACTGTTGTCAGTGTTTGTAGTATTCGGCAATGTTTGAGACAAAAATGATTGATTTCGAACCATTTTTGATAGGAAATTTGTGTTGTTAAAATGAAGTTCTTCACGAATTACAACTAACAGAGAACAAAACGCCAAACAAGACAATAACTATGTTGTGGAGTTTGATGGAGTTGTGGACACACTTGTCATTTGTCTCTTCCCGCGGTCTAGCATACACTAGCATATAAAACTTTCAGTCGCACCACACAAAAACATACTTACAAAAAAATAAAATAAAAAAGTATGACATAAAATCATAAAAACAAAATACAACCTCAACTAAAATTAGGTCAGAACGTAATTCAATACATTTACTAGGGTAGTTGAATGAAGTCCTGCAGTTGTCTACACCGAAAAGAACTAGAAAACGCGAACCGGAAACGGTTATCCTTGAATGGGTTTGTGCGGGCGGAAATTTGTGTGTGGTTCTGTGTGTGACTGTACTTGTGCCGTGCCGCACTCTCATCAGCAACATGGCTGCTGTTGCGGACGAAGTTAAGAAAACCGAGGCTGAGGCCCTAAATGATGATGGTGGAGAGGAAGAAGTTGAAGACGTAGAAGATGCCGCTGAACCCGGAAAGAAGAAAAGGAAAAGGAAAAAGAGGAAGAAGGCTGGTAGGGCTTAAGTTATTTTGTTTGTATTCCAGGACCCCCTGCGCACACCCGGTTTAGGTTAGATTCGCACTTATACCATGTGTGCACCTCTGCAAACCTTTCATTTTACTGAAGTCATTCATTTTTCTTATGTCACTTAATCAGTCCAATGGTTGAGGTATTTTTTCATTCTGGTTGTTCATTATTTTTCTCTTTTAATTTTTTTGTTTACACTATTCTATAAAGACCCTACCTTTGTCCTAGCTCAATTCCTTGTAAAATTTATGTGAAGGTAATTTTAAGTTTTATCCATCATTAGGTGCATCTGAAGATTCATCAGCTGCCCCTGATGCAGTTGCTGAAAAACTTGCTTCTGTTCAGCTGAATGGTGCTCAAAATGGGGAAACAGAGGAGGGAACAGGTAAACTTCTCTTTGGTGTGAAGCTGTACATGTACCAAAAGCATTGATCATATTATTTGTAGCTAGTCTGTAGGCTGTTATGTCATTGTGCCATGTTCTTTTTTTTTTTTAACGAATTTTAATGAACTTTTACAGAGGGTGGTGAAGCTCAAAAGAAAAAGAAAAACAAAAAGAAGAAAGGGAAGAAAGTACAAACTGATCCCCCCACTATCCCCATTTGTGAACTGTTTTCAGATGGTGAGACATATTTATATCTCTTGTAGTTGATGAACTGTTGGGGGAGGAAATGTTGACTTAATACTTCTGCTCTGTTGTAGGAGTCTATCCTATCGGTCAAATAATGGACTATCCAACAGTTAATGACTCTAGAACAGCGAAGGATAGGTTCACCAATGAAGAGAAAAGAGCTCTAGACCGATCTGAAAGTGACATTTATAATGAAGTGCGCCTTGCTGCTGAGGCTCACCGTCAGGTATGGTTTCTGTTAATTTAAGGCTTTTGGCAATTTTTAAATGATTTCTTTCACCAAAATCACTAATTTTGTCTTTGTCATTTAGACTCGCAAGCACATGCAACAATGGATTAAACCTGGTATGACCATGATTCAAATTTGTGAAGAGTTAGAGAACACTGCCAGGAAACTTATCAAGGAAGATGGCTTGAAGGCTGGCCTTGCATTTCCAACTGGCTGCTCACGTAATCATTGTGCTGCACATTACACTCCCAATGCTGGGGATCCAACTGTTTTGGAGTATGATGATGTTACTAAGATTGACTTTGGAACCCACATAAATGGTCCGTTCAACGTTTTGTGCTATATTTGTCTTTCTATTGCTATGGAAGAGATCTGATACAGTTAATTTCTAATTAAATTATTTGTGTTTTTTAGGGCGCATTATTGACTGTGCATTCACTCTTTCTTTCAATCCTAAGTATGACAAACTCATTGAGGCTGTCCGTGATGCCACTAATACAGGAATTAAGGTAACTTCTACTCAATGTCGTCTTCTTGGGTGTGCAAAGTGGCACTTGGGCTTGTTTTAATCCCTTTTCTCTTTTATCAGGCTGCTGGCATTGATGTACCTCTATGTGAAATTGGTGCCGCTATTCAAGAAGTTATGGAATCATATGAAGTAGAACTTGATGGGAAGACTTATCAAGTAAAATCTATCAGAAATCTGAATGGACACTCTATATCACCATATCGTATGTTTTGCATATGTTGAGTTTTTGCTTCCTACCTAAAAACATTAACTATCTAACAAACTTCAACTATTTTCTTTTGTTTTTAGGTATTCACGCTGGTAAAACTGTTCCAATTGTGAAAGGGGGTGAGGCAACTGTCATGGAAGAGAATGAGTACTATGCTATAGAGACTTTTGGCTCCACTGGTCGAGGGCAGGTGCATGATGACATGGATTGCTCACATTACATGAAAAACTTTGATGCTGGATATATGCCTCTTAGGTAAGATTTTTTTTTTCCTTTTTAAATTTATTTATATTATGTTGTTGAAATTTAATAATAAGTTTCAACTTTTTCATCTCTGTTCACCTATTCCAGGCTTCAATCATCTAAATCATTGCTTAGTGTAATCAACAAGAATTTCTCAACTCTAGCCTTCTGTAAGAGGTGGTTGGACCGGGCTGGCTGTACAAAATATCAGATGGCTCTTAAAGACTTGTGTGACAAAGGCATTGTTGATGCCTATCCTCCCCTCTGTGATGTGAAAGGATGCTACACTGCTCAGTTTGAACACACCATTATGTTACGACCGACTTGCAAGGAGGTTGTCAGCCGTGGGGATGATTACTAGCTTCTGTGGTTGATTAACCATTTTGTTATTCAACTTGTTCTGTTCATAAACTAAGGTACCAAGTTTTCTTGATGTCAACTTGTCTGCTTAATCCTGTAGGCTGACAAAGGGATATTTGCTCACACACATAATTCTAGAATACAGATTTTTATCATTTTGTAAGCAAGCATGTATGATAAAAAAATATTCTGCTATGAGATGACTTAAATTGCGGCTCTGTGTATTGAAGCACATGCAATGAACTTCAAACTTTATTACACATTGCATGTCTGTCATTTTGTTGTTAAATAAATTTGAATTACTGGCCACTTCGTTGAGATTATTGTGGTTAATTTTACTCATCTTTGTCTGTCAATTCTCAGAACAGAGTGGATTTCTTTAGCCCAGATAATCATATTTGCAGGGCGTTATCAACAGTCCACCTAGGTCATCAATTGAATCTTAAAATTTGAAGATATTTGTGGGTTATTTTGCTATCAAAACTTCCACATCACCTAAAAGTCTCATATAGCAGAGTTAACTTACATCCAGGCTTCAAGGTTTTAGATATTGTGCCATGTGAAGGTTTTAGTGAATGAGTTCCTATTTCCTCCCCTCCTAATCAAACCCATCTGTTAACCCAATTTTCCCTTTTATCTCAGTCTTAAAATTCAGCATATCTCCCTCAAAAGTTTGTTGGAGTTTTGTAAAATGTTTTGCTTTCTGTCATTGTGTGAGAGTTGAGACCAAAAGACAACACCTTGGGCGAGGCTTTGCTATGTTGTGAGTTTCAACAGGGTTTTCTTTTAAAGTATCTCCTGTATTTAATCAAGGTTTTTGTTGGAGGTTTACTTTATCTGTGATGGGTGAATGAGTCAAATGATTTTTTTCCCCTTTGATTGCTGTGTGATTATGTCTAGTATTAAAATCTAAAAAATTCAGGAATAATGCACTTTTTGTGATTTTTGCATAACATGCACTTAATGCTGAAACAACATGCAATGCATCATTCTCAAACTGAAACATTGTGAATTTCTAACTACCGTGTGAAGATTTCCTCATTAAACTTCTGAAATCATGTTTCCTTCTCATCATGGAAATATATTATCATAATTATTATGGTATTAACAATAATTGCTTATTTACCCCTCTCCCCTGTCATACAAATGCCTTAATTTTCAACATTGATGGCAGTGGTGCTCTAACGGCGGGCTGTAGAGGCTGGTAAGATTATCGCAAAAAAGATTATCATGTATTGTCCAAATGAGGATCTTCTGTAGTCGGGTCGGATTAAACTGACTCTGGCCGCCGGGTTTGTGGCCACCAACGGACGACTGTGCATGCTCTCATAGCACCTGATAGGTAGGCAGAATCTTGCGTGCAGTGCACGTGTGTACTGCGGGGTCGCCTACCCTGAGTCTCGCAGGCGCCAAGTTCACGTAATCTGCCGAAGGAATCCGAGAAAAACGGACGTACTTTCTGGACAATCCTTAACGTAGGCACGGAGGACGGAGGGGTGTTGCTGGACGTACTCTCCAGGGGGACACGCCAATCTACGCCCATCACGCCCATCCAGCCAGTCCTGCTCCCTTCGCGCCGCTTGCGACCCCAGGACGCGATGATGGGGCTTCTGCTGGGCGGGCTCGTCGCGCTCAGCTTCTCGGCTCGGGCTTTGCTACACGGCTGGGTGATGTATAAGACCATACATGATGAGACCATGAACACCGACGCCAGTGAGAGCGCCTGCAACGCGCTGGTTAGGCCAACCCGCCAAGCAGCTGTGCGGGGAAGGCGGCCTACCTCAGCGCCCGAGGGGCATGGTCGCGAGCTGGGCCCCTTTCGCCTTTCCCCTGCAAGACAAATGATGAAACGACGAATAATGACCCCCTGCTGAGCCTGTACTTTAAAACATGATGTGTCCTTTTCAACAAAAACTAACAAAAACGTACTGTTGTTATCAACAGTGTCATTTAATAGACACCTTTTAGTCATGTTCATGGTAAATATCACGAACTTCAGTATTGTATTGTATTGTATCGTATCATTAGAAACTACTGCATTACTCCCGAGCCGAGTCCGCATATTTTCGCGGACCATTTCAAATAGTAAGCGCTTGTTCAATGCCAGTTGGCTTCACTGATCTTCTGAGCAGGGCAACCAACACTCCCCCGCGTACCATCAACTCGCGTTCAACATGCCCAAATCTAACATGGCGGCGGCCCGTTTGTACCCTTCATAACAGGTAACCAACCCATTGTTAACTTTCTTGTGGTTGCGGGATGTCACGCATCACTTCTTGAGTGTTCTTGATCATCTATTGTGTTCGGAAATGTTGATTGTTTTCCCATTTGCCCCTGTCCGATGTTGTCCACCAAGTATTTGCCGATCAGTTGTCGTGTCATATGAGCCCTATCGTATTTGACAGGTATGCTTTACCTCATGTCGACTTGTTCTGTTTCGCTCTTTCTTTAATGCGACAGTTATTTTCTATCAATGGATTCACTGGTTTTCGCTCTCGGCGATTCCACACTGTTCTATTACGTACTGTGCGCCAATTTTTCTACAGGAGTTCAATAATGTCCGCTCACATTCTCGTGCTCAATCTTCTAGTACTTTTGGCATTTAACGTCCTTTGGATCAGATCTGTTCTTCAGTGTTTTGCCCAGTCTTTGTCCGTCAGTTTTAAAATTTATTACGCCCATTCCTCATTTTTACTTACTTCTGTCATGAAATTCATAGAACAATATTTATATATGACATTGATATAGGTATCTTCATTTTAATTCAATACCAGTCTTTAACCTATTCTTTTCTCTTTTATGTTGCAGGGAATGTGTAGAAATTATTAAACTGTGCCATATCATTATTTAATTGGGCCTCATACTCTTCGTAAATTGAATTTTATAAGCTGTGATATAAACGGGTATTTAAGACATACAAAGAGAAATTAACACATTGTGAATTACCCAAGAACTTGTGTGCTTCCCTATTAACAATTTCATTGTGACTAATGGTGAAGTATAGAGAAACTCTCTAAGCTAGATTCTCTGAAGGATGTAAATCATCTTCATTTAAGACTAAAGAGACCCATAATCTCATTACTTTATTTGATTTGAGAACTCTTAGAAAGTTTTGGTGCAAATACTTGGATCTTAAGTGCCAATGTTGAAGTTATAAAGTTTTTGTCGCCATAGACTGAGACATCAGAGGCACGGTTATTGACTCATCAAAATGTACCATGCCACAATGTTCCCACACATGGTGGTTCAAGTTGGCCAACAAGGGCACTATCACCCACTTTTAGATGCATCACATCGACAAAATAGAGGAGCATCAGGGCCTATAGCCCATTATGAGCATGGGGTAAGATGTTCTTCAACATACAGTAATTTTAAAAGTTATTATGGTAAATTTTAAATTATGTTGATTGATTTGTATTTTTTCTTTTCTCTTCCAGGGGAGTAACCCTATAGAACTTTTTCAGTTATTTGGCATAGAAAGTCTTCGCAACAGTCTAAATTACAATGGTCGAAGCATGCCAAGTAGCACTTCTCCAAGCAATGGAAACAGTAGTTCTGGAACTGTCAACAACTCCAATACTAACAACTCCAACAGCAACAACAGTAACAATAATTGTAATGGACCATGGCGTATCCCTGTAAATGTTATGGGTCCTCCTCCTCCTTTGCAAAGACCAATAGCAAATTGTCCCATGAAGAAAGGTTATTGGAATAATAGGCCCAACAGGCAAGAGCAGTCAATATTAGTGGAATTACAGTGGGTATCTAATTTATTCACTTTTAATTAACTTGTTATTTTCTTCTTTCTGTAGATCTGGACCAAATAATCTCGACTCTGTAAATCGAGGTTCAAGTAATGAATGCTACAGCTCTGACAGTGGATTCTCCTCAAGATCTCCTACTCCTAGCAACCAGCAAGTTTCACCTAATAGCTCCAAAAGTAGCAGCAGTAGTAGTAATGATGATGATGCTGCATCTGCTGGGGGAGAACCAGCTCCTACTAAACCACCGAGATTTAAAGGCCATGCATCTGGAGTTGAGAATAGTAATAATAAGTAAGTTGAAATTGTGGCTTGACTGCATTTAATACTATGCATTTCTGATTGTAAATGTCTTTTCTCCTAGGCGCCAGGATTGCTATCCTAGTTATTATCAACCATACTACCCTCATGGGGAATACATGGGACAGCTTGGTGTTCACCAGAGTTGCTCTCCACATTTTCCTCACTCCCATCATCCACGTCATCCACATCACCACCACCACCATCAACAACATCAACAAAATCTTCCTGCATTTCACCATAACCATCATCTAGTCCAACCATCACCTCAACGCAGATGCGAAAGCCTCACAAATCTTAACCAACAAGTGCCTCCTAACAACCATCAAAGCAAACGGAGGTTTCATTCTAGTCGCCATTCACCACCTGCCTCTTTTAGAAATCCCAGCCGCGGAAGACGAATCCCCTCAGGTGAGTAAAAACTCACAAATTCATACCTAGGTTTGGGCACACATGCACCTAATCAGTTAGAGCAGTTTGTTTTGCTTCCACCTAAAAGATAAGGTATTTAGTCATTATTTGGGTGCTAGAGCATTGAATGTTTTATCTCCACACCAGGCACAATGACTCACAGTACAACCAGCTTCAGTGCACCAGATCGTTTCCTGCAGCGTTCGCACCTCATGTACATCACAACCAAACCCGTTGATCTCCTTTCAGGAAACGATTGGGATGAGGTAGGGTACCATCATTATAGTTTCAGGGGGAATATATTTGAATTTTGCCTATTCAACCTATTCTAACTCTATTTTGCCAAAACTATTTAGGTGTCAGGTGCTATGTGGGACAAATTCGTCCAGAATCAGCAAACTGAAGATGTTTATAGAAACAAGATGGAACTATGGAAGAAACTCTTCTATCATATCAAGGTTTGTTACACACAAGTTTCATGAACTAAATTATTGAGGAGATTATTTTATATCTATCTCTCATGCAACAGGGCATCTACCCAAAGTATGGGCTGTTTCTTGTGGGATCAACTATAAGCGGCTTTGGAAGCAATAACAGTGATATGGACATGTGTCTTCTTGTAAGGCACTCTGAAATGGATCAACGAATTGAAGCAGTTGGCCATTTGGAGCGTGTGCTGAAATGCTTGCGTCAGTGTTGTAAGTAGTGCCACGATATGGTTGAGGTAATATTTGTCTCTCTGACTAGAGATATTGTAATCATGGTGTTTACAATTACAGCTTTCATTAAGAATGCAGATCTTATTCAAGCTAAGGTGCCCATTTTGAAATTTAAAGATGCAGAACATGGTCTCGAAGTAGATTTGAACTGTAACAATGCTGTGGGTATACGAAATACTCACATGCTTTTCTGCTATGCACAGAGTATGTAAATTACATCGTTGTGTACTATGAATTTTGTTTTATTGGGGATAATCAACATGTGTAATTGTTACATATTTGCTATTTTAATCTAATGAGTTTTTCCTAACAGTGGATTGGAGAGTCCGACCTCTGGTTTTGATTGTCAAATTGTGGGCTGCTTCACAAGGTATCAATGATGCCAAAAATATGACAATATCATCATATTCGCTTGTGCTAATGGTTATAAATTTTCTTCAATGTGAGTATCTACAGTATCTATTTTACCCCCTTTTTTCCTCTCCCTTTAAATTTGTAGTTTTGATTCACTGTTTTTTTTTTTTTTTCTGTAGGTGGGGTCAATCCATCTGTCCTTCCATGCCTACATAAACTGCATCCATCAAAGTTTCAGCCCCATACTGATCTTCACTTTATTGACTTGCATGAAGAGCTTCAACCTATTAAGTCTGAAAATAATCAGTCACTGGGTGAACTTTTTGCAGCATTTTTGGAATATTATGCTCAGTTTGAGTGAGTATTTATGTATGACCTCTTGCATGACTGAATCTTTACTTGTTGCACATTTGTGTGCAATTAATTCTTTCCTTATTCATCTGTTACCAGCTATACCAAGAATGCTGTGTCAGTAAGGACAGGTAGTTGTCTTTCAATCGAGGAATGCCGCCATGCTCGAAGTTTTAAAAATGACCCTCACCAATGGAAGTATCTTTGTATAGAAGGTGTGTTTTTCATAATTGTTTGACTAAAACTTGAAATTGTTCAGATTCATATTCAGGTGTGACTAATACATACTTTCCTCCCTTTCAACTTGATACAGAGCCTTTTGATTTGACAAACACAGCCCATTCAGTTTATGATCCTGAAGTGTTTGAGAAGATAAAGTCAATTTTTAGGTCTTCCTTTGAGATACTCAATGACTCAAGGAGCCTTGAATGTATATTCTCAACATCTGAAAGCAAGTGAGAGCCATCTGTCATCCCACAAGAACTATTAGATGAGCGTTTTGTACCAACTTACGTGTGCCAAAGGATTAAAGTTCTTTCAAAAGCATCTTTGACTTGTGGTAGTTTGTGGATGCAGTATTTAGAGCACTTAAACAGTGAAGTGGCCCTTCGTTTTGTCCACAATATGTATGCATATGCTTCTTTATTGTTTTCCAGAAGTTCCTTGCATATCTAGTCCAAATGGTGTATTCCAGCTTAAGTTTTATTTTTTTTTAATGTTAAATTATATGGATAGATTTGACATTCCATTTTGGACGGAGTGGATTCATTGTGAGTAAATGATGAAGGGCTGGTCTAGTTGTTCCTGTCCAGCCAATAGGGTGGACAAGTTCTGATGCATTCCAATGAAAATGAACTAGTCAACTATGATATTGTGGTCTGTGATGGAAACTTGCCACATTATGTGGACCCTGAACTTTGCTGTTCTTATACCAGTGTGCAGTATTGTGAGCATATGCTCTAATATGGGCTGATAACTGTTCATCTGCTTCCGTTGGATGGAAGCAACCAGAATTTTAACTTCTTTTATTTAATTAATGTATTTCAGTATGGTAACTATTTACAGGAGAGCTAATTACATAAGTTCTTTGATTGTTCTGACTGGTGCCAACTGCAGTGAAATACTGAAAAAGGGAAAAAAAAACGACAAAAGACAAAAAAAATTATAAAAAGAAAATAATTGTACATCAGTTATTTATTGTATGAAAAGTGGTGCCTATTGAGCAGTAGTCTACCTCAAATGTTTTGTGTGTGTGATGGGGATTTTACTTATTTGCGTACCATTAATTCTAAATTCTAAGCAATCATTTGCAAGTTTTTAAACAAATTCTTGGTGCTGTGCGCCAGTTTAGTTTGTGCTACAGTACAAAAGATCTTTCTTTTTATCATTATATTGCTAGCAATTTCATAACTTTAAGGCATTTGTGCTAAACCTCATAACATAAAGCATTAAATGTCCTATGACTGTTAAGTTTCATACCATTACATCTAATTCTGTAGGGGATTTTTTTTGAGATAGACTAGTTAAATTGAAGAAATTCTGATTTGTATTTTATAACAGTTGTATTGTTGCCGTTAACTTATATTTTTGTTGATGTTAAGGGTAAGTAAAAGAGTTGTCGTCATTTAAAATTTTTAATGTTGGTTGTAAATTATCATATATATTTAGAAAGAGTTTTGGTGGTATTGATCAGAGTTTCTCTGATAAAAGTTTTTCTTACTGATGCATTTTGTTATGCCTTGACTGAACAAATGAATTCCTTCCTCTAGAGCTGATGAAATGTTACAAGTATCTGGAGGATTTTTTGAAATTGCGTATTTGGCCTGCTTTTTCCTTGATGTCATAATGTTCTATCTATCCAACAATGAATCTTGGAGAAGTTATGGTCAGCACAGGACACATTACATGTCTCCTTTTTACTCATTTATGTTTGTTGCCTTTCATGTATTGAGCAAATTAATTATTCAATATTACATCAAAATAACTTGTTACATGTTTTGACCTTATCAAATGAGACTGATTTTGTTTTCTTATTGAGGTATCTCGCATATTAATTGTATCGATAAATATCTTCAATTGGTTGCGCTGAACTGTCTAACAGTAGCACAAAATTCAGTGATAGCAGATAAAATTTTGTCATTGGAGATCGTGGTGGCATTTGTATTAATATGTCTTGTCCCAGTGTTCTGAAGCCTCTCATTTTCACACTCTTAAAGTGTGCTCTGTTCAGTGTTTTCCAAGAAATCAGTATTTTAATTTTCATCTCTGGAAGGCAGAAAAAGTAGATATCTCTGCTTGATTGTCTTGCATTACCATAAAAGTTCATCCAGTTTTCTCAAGCTGCTTTGATTATTGTTTTGTTTCTTTTCTACTCTTCATTTGCTTCAATAGTCAAGAATAATGAATGCATGTTACTATCATCCCATATTCTGTTTGGCAACTAGTTTGCCATCTCTTTCCAATGAACAACATAATTCTTTACAAGTTTACAATGTGCTCTTTTTATCTAAAAACTGGACATGCCTTTTTTTTTCTTTGATTATTGGCCCTTTTATCTTGAACTTTAAATAATTATTTTCATCATTGAGTAATCATATGTGAACCCATCTGGTTAATTGTTAAAGATGATTTTACATTTGAAAGAAATTCTTTTGTTATGAAATATTAGTTTTTGAAAATTATTTCATTCTAGCTTATTTTGTCAAGTGTTTGTGTGTGTCTGCTGTTCATTTCTAACAAGTCTGTTGATACAATACTCTGCAAAATGTGAGTTCACAAACAAAGTTGTAGTGAGATGGTAAGGATTGTCACTGCGCTTTTCGTGGGACATACCATAAATTTTCTTGATGAGTCTCTTCAAAATTCTTTCATCTGCATTGCTCTTTAGTTTGATTGGAGAGAATGCTCTTCCATTAAATTGATCTCCGACAATACAATACAATACCTACAGTTAAAAATTGGTAACAATAATTAATAACAATAATTTTAACTGAAAAACATATCATTTGTGTTGTCATGTCATTAATGGTGCGCAGGTTCCCTGCTGTGTTATTTGTTGTGAAATGATAATTGTAAGACTGTTAAGATCAATGATAGGAAAGATAAGTAATTCTAATTGTATGGTGTATTTCCAAGTCATTTTTTCTGAATAGGAAAACTGAAATGCCTTGTTAAAAAAAAATTAGTAAGAAAACATTTGAAAACTGTGGAAAAAAAAAAAGTGTGACAAGCAGCACATTTGAAGAAAGATCTCTTCCATTACTAGCAAATAGTTTTAAGTTGAAACTGCTTTCCATTGACACTACACCAGTGTCTGCGGATTAAATGTAACTTTAAGTATAGGAGCACATATGTGTGCTCTTTCTGATCTCTCTTAGGTCTATTGTAAGTGCCCATTTTGAAACAATAGTTCAGTATGATGGCAATAAGTTTGTGGGCTGTAATATTCTAACATGAATGGTGCCATAAGATGTAAGCAGCAATCTCTAGGTCCCTTGTGATTTCATCCTGGTCACAAATGCTGAAAGCAAAGCAAATGTAAAAAAATAATTTGTATGTCAGTTATCTGCTTTATTTAATTGTACCACAAGTAAAGGGTCTTGTATCACTTTCAGTGTACAAAAAATAAATAACTATACCTTAACTTGTAAGTTATCAAATGATATCTGATTTGCACCATTCTTAATGACTTAACCCTGTTAGCCATCTTTTTATTACTGTGTGTAAGGCAGGTACATTATTTTTGTAATATTTTATGAAGTAGACCCGCATTGTCTTCCCAAATTTTCAAAAAAGAATAGAAACTTCAATTAATACCAAAGATTTTTTTACAATGTGGGCTATTTTTATCAGGTTCTAGTCTTTTGTCGCAAGACTCACTTGGTTACCTGTTTTGAAGCATTAATGAAATTTAGCTTTGTTGTATCATGCTTCTCCAGTGAGAACATCTATTTGAAAAGAACCAAATGTGAAATGCACAAAAGAGTGTTGATACAATATTTGTCACTTGCCCAGTCCCTTTTCTTTCGTTTAAAATTTTATTCACTCAAGGCTAACCAAAGGGGAAGGTCAATGTCAGTATTTCTGGACACCTTTGGGTTCAAAATTTGTCTGCCTGGCTGTCAATATTGTGGTTTGAGTACAAGTTAACTGTGTTTTATACTTGCCAACAGTTTGTGCTTCATTTTAGCAAGTCCTTAGCTATAATTATATGGTGCTATATTGTTTCTAGATCTATTGAACACTATGTTGGTAAGCATTTTGGTATTAAATTTGTTAATTCTTCAGTAAGCGGTGTACGCCTGGAGCGTACTATCTTTATTTAGTTTAAATAATATAGGTAGAAAAATGTTTGTAAATAAACACATCTTTAACTTAAATAACTGTAACTCTCCAACGTTGTCTGGTCAATAAAGCAAAATAAAATATTCGGAATACAATATTTTTCTTACGAATCTTTCATTCATTCTTACTTTCCTTGTGCATCTTGTCTATTCTTCGCTCGACGAGTTTTGCTCGGGGACAGAGGGCACGGCGCTGATGCGGGAGCACGACCGGCCGCGGACCTTGGGCCGGCGCTGGGCCTCCGTCGCCGTCATCTCGCGGATCGAGTCGGCCGCGGCCTGGTGGATGGTGCGGCCGAACACGAAGCCGAGGTCCGGCCAGCGGAAACCGCCGCGCAGGAAGTCGAGCGAGGGTCCGGAGGGCGACGGCGAGGGGGCGGGCTGCGCTCGAGCCTGCTGCAGCGCCTGCAACGCGCGAGGTAGGCAGACCCGCCGTGCCGCACAGTGCCGAGAGCTTGAGGGACTGCCTACCTCGCCGCTTGGCGTATGTGACCTACCTGATGGCAGCGCGGTATCGCGTCCTTGGAGGGGGGCCTGAAGTGCACCGCGGGTCCCAGCAGGGCCCTGGCGATCTGGAACGGGCTCGACACGATCCTGACCAGAGTCGGGCCCACACCTCCGCTGCCCGAAGCGACGGCCACCGCGGCGCGGTCCCTAGCCCTCGCGACCGCCTCCGCCTCCCGCTCGGTGGCAGACTCGCCGGTCCGAGGCCTCTCGCCGGGGGTCGCCTCTGCAGCCGCTGTGCGCGCTGTCTCGTCTCCGGAGTCGTCAATTCCAGTCCGCGCGCCCGCAGCTGTGGGGGCCCCAGCTGGGACAGCTGTCGGGCTTGTGTCTGACTTCCGAGCTGCCGGCTGGTCGGCGGTCTCGTCGGCCACAGTCGCTCGCGCGCCCGCAGCTGCCGGAGTCCCGTCTAGTGCCGCTGTTGAGGCTGCCTCTGGCCGACGCTCCGAGTCGTCTGCGCCGGCCGGCTCTCTCTCCGGGGCCTGGCCCGCTTCTCCCACGACCCCCGCAGGTGGCGCGTCGGTCTTCCCCCTTTGATCGCCGTCCACTGCCGCCGGAGACCCGGGCAGCACCGACCCTACGGCGGTATCGTCCGCCACCTCATCCATGCGGTAACCCAAAGCCTCGGAGGACGTCCTCGGGGACATGATGGGGGCGGAGTCTCGAACCTCAGGCTCTTGAGAACGATCGGCAGGGTTAGAGCGTGAGACCCCTTCGAGCCCTTAATGCACCGTAGGTCGAAACAGTCGTTACCTGGTTGGTCACCAGGAGAGACCCCTCTGACTCTCATCATGCTCTGGGTACGCGCCACGTCAGCCTGCCCCTCCCGCTCCTCGTCCTCTTCGTCCTCCTCCAGCCTGGCCCAGCGCTGCTCGGCGTCGGCCGCACCCTCCCCGTCAGGCACGAGCTGAACCTCGCTCTTCTGCGGCGCCACCTAAGGGGCAGAACAAAAGTGACGTCATTTCCGTGGTTGAAGCGGAATCGATTATTTGTTGTTGTTCTTTTTCCTTCCCTCGAATTGAGTTTACTGGTGAAAATGGAATTGTTTTGCATTCTATGATAAAGTTGCCCCATAGGAAATAATTATCGACAGGGAGACTAGTATTATGTGCTTCCAAATACGGCCAAACCCCTCCCAGAAAATACGCCCGTTTTCCTGATATTCACTCGACAAATTACCGGAGCTCGGCGCCTGTGAGACTCGGGGTAGGCCATCCCGCAGTACACGCATGCAAGATGTTGCCTACCTACCGGGCGCTAACTTGCAGAGGCTGAACTGCTGATCTTGGCGGAACGGCGAATGAATTACGTTCGTACGTACTTTCTTTGTGCGTTGCGTCGGCGTTTACCTGCGCGGTGTACAACTCTTTGGCCGGCGCAGAAGTGGGTGCCGCCTTGCGCTCGATCTCCTCCTTGAGAGCCCTCAGGTCCTCGTCGTCGTCCTCGAGAGATATGGGCTCGGGGAGTGGCAAGTTCGCTTCCGCGAGGTCCGAGTCCAGCCAGACGTTTCCCTCTACGTCGCCCAGGCCATCTCCCAGGGGGAACTGAAAGTAACGCGACTGATAACAACCACCTAGTCATACTGGTCAATTGTTATTCGCCTACTGTTTGCGAATAGTGTTTACCGTGAGTTCAGCCTCCGGCGGTCCAGGGACCGAAGCGCGGGACTCGCGTTCACGGTCACCACTGGGCCGGCGACTGCTGCCGAAGAAGGCGCACGTCCCGCGGTCCTCTCTGAACGGATCTCGGGACCTGTCGCCTTCCAGGCTCAGGGACTTGGCCGCGTCCCGCAGCACGTCTCCAGAGTCGTCCAGGCCCTCGGCGCCGCCGCTCTGCGCGCTTGGCGGATAGCTCGCCCCGCTGGTGCCACTCTGCGCGCCTCACCGAGGGAAGGCAGGGAGAGCGAGGCTCGACTCTGTCCGGACTATGACGGGGGCATTCCCTCACTTACCTGCACCAGTCCAGAGTCGACGGAGGGCTGACTGCCCAGGCCGCCGACCCCCGTCACGCCCGCGATTGCGCCCAGGGAAGCGAGGGTGATCCGCGACCGAGAGCGGGACCGCTGGACGATGGAGGCCGACGTGGACCTGCGCGCCGAACCGGTGGTGGAGCGGGTCGCCTCCAGCAGGCTGAGCGCGCGGGGGCTCGTCGCGGACGCCAGAGAGGCCACGTCCGAGGCGGAGTGCGCCCGCTGGGGCCCCGGCACCGCGTGGGCGGAGAAGGGCGCCGAGCCCATGCACTCGGACGAGAAGGTGGGCCGCGGCTTGATGCACTCGGACGCGTAGGGGCGCTGCCTCGGCGTGGACGTGTCGCGGCCACGTCCGAGCACGGCGCGCCACTCGTCCGCCAGGCGGCTGTCGGGCGCCGCCTCCGACGGGAAGGTGACGAAGCGGGCTCTGGAGGGGTGGCCGCCGCTGTGAGCCCCGCCACTGTGGCTGTGCTGCGTCTCGTGCGCGCTCATGGGCATGATGGAGCCGGTCGAGGACATGGACCCCCCCGCCGCCGGGCTGCCGCCGCCCTGCGGGGTGCCCGTGCGCCGGCGCAGGTCCCTCAGCCGGTGCAGCCCCGACACGAGCACCGTGTCCACCACGGGCCCGAGGGTGGCCCGCAGGAGCACCAGCTCGCCCAAGGTGTAGGCGAGGTGCTCGCAGGACTCGGTGGTCGCGCGCTGCGCCAGGTCGTCCAGGCTGCTGGCCACGGCGTGGTACGGGTCCGCGGAGCTGTCACCGGGCACGGCGCCCGCGTCGTGATCCGCCGCCTCGGCGCGCTGCTCCCGGTAGCGCCGTACGTCCAGCATCATGCGCTCCTGGAGGGGGATGGGAGCGTCGTCATTCGGCTGTGGAGGTCGCGGAGCTCACGATAGTAGACGGAGGCTCGTTCGGCGGCCCGCACCTGGCTGGCGACGAAAAGGCGCAGTTCCATGGCGATGGCGTCCACGTCCAGGGGCTGGCCGTGCTGCCGTGCCAGGAGACAGCACTCGTAGTTGCAGCCGGAGCACGGGCACCTGAGCGAGGCCTGTAGGTCGAGTCCCGACGCCAACACAGAACGTATTGTCCCTCCTCCCCACGCGGCTTGTGCGCTTACTTGGTCCTGGAAGCAGCCGCAGCCTGGGTTCCCGCCTGCCCCGGGGGCACTGGAGGTCCTCGAGGTCGTGGACGCGCAGCGGCCTCCCCCTCCGGGTCCTCCGTCCCCGGCACCTCCAGAGCTCCTCCCTCCATCCGCGCTGCACCCTCGACTCCATCGTCCTCTGCTTCTCTTGCTCGGCTCTGCTCGAGGTCCTCCAGGGACTCGACGCTGGGTCTGCGACAAATCGAGTTCTTCCTGCAGAGCGCTGACGCTACAGCTTACCTGTTTGACGCGATTCAAGACCTGTTTATGCTGGCAGTAACATTCTAAATGTACTCGTTCTACTAAAAAAATGTGAAATTTGTTTACCGTTCTTCCATGGCCCATGGTGGCTGCTATGTACTGCCTCCGCAGCCAGATTCTTTGGCCACCATTGTCGCGCTAGGCAAGAAGGGACGGAGGGACTCGCAACAATTCATAATTTCCCATAGTTTGTTTTCGCTGTTCACAGATTTGTTTCACGATGTTGGTCAAAGTGGAAACGTATGAGGCCCTGTTTTTGGTTTTTTATGTGTCATCCTGCTTCTTTTCAGTTGGCGCTAGCTTCAAACTTGTGTAATCCAAACAACAATCAACAATGACAACCGTTGGGCTGAAGCAGGGAATGAAAACGATACGAAAACACAGAATATACTTTTTAAGGTTCCTGCTAGACAAGTATCTGTGTACTTGATGTTACAGCCATAACAGCCCTGAAAAAGGCCTTGCGATGTGGTTTTATTAAAGTCCAATTACAGTTACATTTTGAACTTGTACACAGTTTGATGTGCCGTTGCTCGTTGTAGGCCGTACCTGGTGATTCAGAGAAGACGCAGGTGCTGGTGGGTTTGCCTACCCAAGGGGCTATGGCGCCTTACGGGCAGAGCGGGTAGGCAAACCCGCCTGCACCTGCGTCTTCTTTGAATCACCCGGTACGGCATTTGCTTATAAACTGAGGGATAAACGTGGGATAAACGGGTATTATGGAATGATTTTTTTTTTATAAGAAGTGTTGTCCTTAGTCCCAGTATTCTATAAAGTCCCGTAGGGCGACAAGACTTCATGGGGACGGGCGTGTCACAACCTCCGTGAAGTTGGCACCACAAAAACCCGATGCAAATTATTGCTACCTCTCATCTTTTAGTGCTCAATTAGTGCTTTCGAACTGTACTATTTCTAGAATTAGTGCAACCAAGGCTAGCGTCTAAAACGATGAAGAAGGTGGGCGTAGGCTGTGCCAGCTTCACGCTAGAGCCCCGCAAAGAGCAAGCTACGCGAGCAACGCTTCGGACGCCGGTTGACGCGAACATCCGAAGAGTAGCCGAACGTTCGCCGAACAGCTCGGCACCGACTAGCACCGACGATCGGCTGGTCATAGCTTCGATTCCCGCTATCGCACTATTTTTTGGCACCAAAATTGTACCAAATTCAGTAAGAAGTTGCATTTAGGCCTCCAAATCACATTCTCAGAATAACTTTTTGAGTTTGGTAATCTGAAAGACGAGAAAATTAAATGCTTCTGGCGGGAGTCTAATCTCCGCCGCAGCCGCCCGCCGCCAGCTCGCGAGTTAGCGCGAGACGAGACGAGCTATGCAGTCGCGAGACGAGACGAGCTAAATCTACCGGTCGCAACCCAGCATTAGCGTTAGCTCGCGTAGCTCGCTCGTTGCGGGGCTCTACTCTGGACCTATTGGAGCTACAGCGTCCAGATTTCGGCTGTAGATTACTCTAGTAA